AAGTGCGTAATGGGCACGAGAGTGTGTACCCATGTAAGTGTCATCAAATGGAGACCAAATTAACAACATGGTATGGAAAAGGCATAAAAGACTGGTAAATGTATGGGAAATTGAAAAACTTACTAAGGGAACCCATAAAATTAAGAGTTTTCTAGCAATTGGAACGTTATCTGTAATCTGTTGTCGAACAAGATAGATAGTTACATCGATTAACAAGATACAAATGAACAAATTGGATGTAAAAGGCATAAAAGAAGAATAAATGTTTGGATATGTGGAAAAACACACACAAATTACTAAACGAACTCGAACTATCGGAAACTATCTGATATCGCATGAAATCGATAATCGTAAAGATGAAAAACTAGCGTCAATTTGGATCTGCATGCCCCAAATCACTTTCTTCCATGCGAAGAAGTGCAGCTCTCTCATCATTTGCCGCCCAACATAGTGCCATCTGATCATTAGTCGTAGAGCTACATATTTCTTTATCGGGCGATCAAAGAAATTAACTAATTTGCTGCGGAATAGCTCCAACTGCAGCTGAGAGTGCTACTGCGATTGCCATTGACATTGAAAGTCGTGCCAAATGTTAATTAAGTTCATCAGCGAAATAATAAAAATAATCGCACACAATGAAGACATCAAAAAGCATTACAAAAATGTAACAGCAATGCAAGAAAGAAAGACAGAAATAAACAAGAAGAAGCGAAGCGAAGGTAATGAAACAAGATAAACATAAACCAGAGCAGACTGGACAAATGGAAATGGACAACAAAAGGCATTCGAGATGGGAGAGAGTTGCGTTTGGAAGGCACGAAATGGGAGTTACGGAATATATGTACTCCCAGAAGCGATTAGAGAGATTTTCCTTAAATATTGTTAAGAAAAGTCTCAGAACTGACGGGATGCTACATTCTGAAGAATAATCTTAATAGTTGGAGGTTGAATCCACATCTTAAAAGACCCTAACATAGCAGTAATAGCATCTAGATAAATCTGAATTCTAGCGAAACATATGTACAATATGTATGTAAGTTTTAAGAGCATTTGGCTGATTCCCGAGCTCTAGGTCTAGAAGCGAGTACAATAGATCTAAAAGGTTGTGAATAGTTCATGAAACCCTGTACTATCATCATCATTACTCAATGGCATTAATCTCTCATCTTTGCGCGTCTTGCAGCATCGCCCATCGGTCGGTCGTTGTCCCTAGGGCCAGTCTCTTGATGGGGCAGTGTGCAACCATAGCCCATATAATATACATATGTACCTCTTTTACAGTATCCTTTTTTTTAGAGGATTCATTTGTTCCTTTAGTTCCGATCAGACATGCACGATCACGCACGAAATGGCGGTCCATCTCGAATCAACTTCACTTCACTTTTGCTTTGCTCTTTGAGCTTTTTCTCTCTTCTTTGCCCGCCCCTTTCTACACGCTTTACTTTTGTTTTTGCCGCCTCTGCCGCGCGAAGATGAAAGCAAAATTTCACTGACGTTGACGCTGACGCTGACGTCGACGGCGGCCGAACGAGAGTGAACCGAAATGAACTGAAATGAACGCCGCCGCGCCGCTCCGCAAAGCCGCAATTATGATAAATAACTGTATTTTCATATTGTAGTATTTATTGTCTCGTTTTTGCTTTATTTTTTGTGTATCTTTTGTTGCTGTTGGTCTTTTTGTTGCTGTTGGTGGTGTGTAATGACAGTGCAATTTATGATAATTTCTGGCCAAGGTCTTCGTGCAATAAACATAAATTCCTGTTAAGAGCCCCACAGTTAAAAGATGAACACAAAATGCAAGAAGAGGAGGAGTTGGAGCTCCAAATACACTTGTCACAATGACTTTTATGGCAGACAGTAAAAAGTGATACGATTTTTAATGTAATTTGCGAGGATTATGGAGAAATTATATTGTTAAAAAAAAACCAAATGATTGGTGGGATTTTGTAGTCTTTAAAAGTCATTTGATTTTAATAAACAGAAAAACGCTGAAGAACTTCCTTCAAAATATGTATGGGGATATGCTCTGGAAACCCCAAAAGACCCATCGAAATCATAGCACCCTCTTAAAGGGTGCCCCCCCAAACCAAGAGGTCAAAAACGTTGATAAATGGAACCCATGGCTGAGGGCCACAAAATAGGTAAATGTACAAATTTTCTTGTTGTCAAATTATATCGAAACTAATAAATTTGACAGGGCCATAACGAGCATGAAGTTAGGGGCGGTGTGGGGCGGGGTGGGGAGGGGTTCGGGCACCATACAAAATTGACTTGTCAATGGTTCAGCTTTTGTTTTTTTTGTGTCTTTTTTCTTTATTGTCTGTTGTCGTGTTTCTGTTTTTTGGTTCAGTTTATTGTCCGAAACAAGTGAAAGTGTCAACGCCATGAAATATGATAAATGACTCAAAGAATATGCTTCGAAAAGAGCGGATAGAGTGGATGTGGCAGGGTGGGGTGTGCCAGAAAGAGATAGTGCTGGAGCAGGAGCGGAGGCTGTCCTATGCGGCGTATACGTTATTTATGTGCCGAACAAACTGCGGAGGGGCATATTCCGTTGGGTGGAGGAGTACAGTACCAGATTTTAAATTCCATAAAGACCAGGAGAAAACCCTATGGCACACATTTATTTATAGGAATATTCAAGCAGTTTTAAGCACATCTAAAACTTTGCGCGCGGCACACTTTTCAACCCAAATATTGTCCTCGGCGCGTCCTTGTTTGGGGTCACACATTGTAATAAAGTAAATATGCGAAAGGACTAGTGGAGGGTCCTTATCTGGGACCAGCGCACGGCGTCGCACCAGATAAACTCTGCCACAACTCAGGGCGAATGCGTGCCCAGCATAATGAAAGGCATTTGAAGAGGGTGCTGCCGGGGGGGGGGTACACTAAGCGTCATAAATATAGGGTTCCTTTGGTTAACCTTTGGACAAGCCCCTCCCGGATTAATGGCAACTTTATGGCCATGACACGCGCTGTAGTGCCCAGTCTTTGGAATGCCGTTTGCTAATTTCCTTGGCATTCCATTGAGCTCTTCTGCCGCTGCTGCTGCCACCACTTCAAGTGCTAATTATTTGCGGCCAACTGTTGGCCATTCACCAAAAAAAAAGGGTTGTCGGCGGCGGCTTTCACAAAATTCTGTCAAAAGCAAATCTTTGTGAAGGTGCTAAAGATTTGCCTGGTAAATGTTTGTTTACGGAGAAGTGAAACGAAATGAAATGAAATCTATTCAGTGTAAACGCTGTTGTGCCACTAATGAGACGCACTCAAAGATCTGTGAAAAGATCTGCAAATGTCGAAAGGAAAGACATTTCTTCAAGATGATTTCACTAATTTGATTGTCTACGAAGAGAGTGTGCAGAGAAGCAGAGAAGAGAGGAAACAGATTTGCAGAGAAACAGATCAAATTTAAACCCTTCATGGGTGAAGGAATGAACTCTTAATTTGGGAGTAGATATAGCTTAGGAGTTTGGAGACTCCCATAGCAAATTACCTGCGAATCTTAAGTTTCATGAGCAAAGGTTTATTCAGAATTAAAAGTGGAAATATTTCTATATATCGTTGGATCTGTGGAGTGTCCAATCAGTGTATCCCAAGTCATGGAAAGTTGAACCTCAGGCTCCTCTAAAGGATTCTAACTTTTAGAAATAAAAGAGACTTCTTATATAATTTTAGTGGAAGTTTTTTCCAGTGCTTTAATTCCCATTTTTACTTTCTGTGAACAACCATTACCATTTCCTCTGGGTCCAGTCCAAAGAGATATTTAACTTCCATCAAGCTCTCCAACTTTCTTTCATAATCCTTTAAAATATCGCTCCTAATGAACCTTTTTGCCCCAACAACTCTCTTAACAGTCCTTAACTCTTCCTTAATTTGCGTCTACACTTTAACCTTTAACTGCTCCATTCCCCCTCCCCCAACAAAAATGGCTGATGATGGAACCTTTAGGGCTTTCGAGCGGCCACATGGGAAAGAAAGATGTTGCATGGCGGCCAGAGACGAGACTCCTATAAAAGAGCAAGTTAGCGAAATGAATAAAATGGGAACACGAGCACACACACACCTGCCGCACATGCCACATATGTTTGCCACGCCCACACAATGCTCTGGAGTGGGCGGTAACAAAAGGTAACTTCTGGGCTAACAGAAAAATGAAAAAACTACGAGAATGATGATGATGATGATGATGATGATGGAGAGGCCCGCAAGTCATTGCAGGTGCACGAGATGAAGCCTGCCACAGAGGGTGCCACAGAGGGAGGGTGGGGTAGTAGCCCTAGTTGCAACATAAGTATTAGCTTCATTTTTGCAGCATTTAGCCGCTTTCCCGCTTCTCATAACCCCTTTTGCCTTTGTAACTTTGTTTGCAGTTTTCTTCTTCATATTTTTCCCCTTTTTCCCCTTCTTTTTTTTCTTTTTTGTGTGTGCCCCGTCGAGCCGCCTCAAATGAATTGAATGTGAAAAATTTAAATGCAAACAGCCGCAGTCGACGCAACAGAGTCAGCCTTGCCCTGGTCCCCCGTCCCACTTCTCCCGCCTGCCGCCCCCTCTCTGATGTTTCTGCTTGCCTTGCAAAAGTCGAGTCCCAGCTCCCGCCCCCGCCTTCTGTACAGTCTCGGCAAGAGTTCATTGTACCATCTCGCTTAGTTGAAGAGTCGTCTCTGAGTCCAAAACAAACGATGCTTTTGATTGGACAGCCAGCCCCACAACCCCTCCGCCACCCCCAGAAGGGGACGAGGATTGTTAGAGCCTCCTGAGATCGGGTCAAAGACTCGACGACTAGGCCGCGCCCCCCCACACGCATTGCCCTGAATATGAATACTTTTTCCCATATTTTTTAGCGCCCCCTGAGAATCTGCATCGTAGGCATTTTCATTGCAATTTCAATTGGGGATCAATGCACCGAAATATAGTTATAAGAGTTCTTAAACCAAAGACTTTCCAGCCCCTCAAAGGAAGGACAGATGGCGGGGGAGGTGTCCTGACTGTAGTTCTAAGAGTTCCTAAAGTATATTTAAAACAAATAAATTCCACATAAATTTGGAATACAATAAGTAATGGCTAACACGAGGAACCCTAAATGTAGTGCTTTTGATAGTCTTCTCCCTAGAAACACTTTCGGTGCACTATGCTGGGGCCCACTTCATCGTAATCCTCTTTGGTGACCCACATCTGCTGGAACACCGAGAGCGAGGAGAGAATCGAGCCGCCGAGCCACACGGAGATGCTGCGATCTGAAGGGGCATCTATCTTGATTCTCGTGGTGGAAGGCGCCAGGAGGTTCAGCTCCTTCTGCAGACGCTCCGGCAGGCCCGCGAACATGGTGGTGCCGCCGGAGAGCACAATGTTGTTGTAGAGATTCTTGCGAATGTCGACCTCACACTTCAGAATGGACTTATTTGTGGCCTCGTGAACGCCACAGGACTCCACGCCCAGGAGCCCCGGCTGGAACAGCGCCTCGGGGCATCGGAAACGCTCGCTGGCGACGGAAACCGTCTGTCCGTCGGGCAGCTGGTAGGACTTTTGCAGCGAAGAATCGACCGACGCCTTGTGCATCTCCTGGTCAAAGTCCAGGGCGACATAGCAGTGCCGTTCCTTGAGATCTCGCACGATCTCCCGCTCGGCGGTGGTCTGGAACGAGCTGCCACTCTCGTGCAGGATCCTCATCATGTAGTCGGTGAGGTCGCGTCCTGCCAGCTCCAGGTGCGAGACGCCGTGCGTCACGGCATAGCCCTCGAAGATGGGAACGCTGTGGGTGACCCCGTCGCCGGAGTCCACCACCATGCCGGTGGTGCGGCCAGTGGCGTACAGGGTGAGCACCGCCTGGACGGCCAGGTACATGGCCGGGGTGTCGAACTTCTCGAACATGATCTGGGTCACCGTCTCGCGGCTGGCCTTGGCGTTCAGCGGTGGCTCTGCCAGCAGCACGGGATGCTCCTCCGGCGCCACCCCCATGACGTTGTGGAAGGCGTAATGCCAGATCTTCTCCATGTCATCCCAGTCAACGACAGCGCCCCGCTCTATGGGATACTTCAGGGCCAGCACACCGCGGGACTTCTGCGCCTCATCGCCCACATAGGCTTCGACACGGCCTGCTCCATACGGACGGTTTGACCCAATTCCCAACATTGCAGTCACGTGACGGGGTCGGCCGACAATCGATGGGAAGATGGCGGTCGGAGCATCATCCCCACCAAAACCGACTTTGCAAATCCCCGAGCCAATGTCCATAACCAGAGCAGCCATCGCCTCGATTCGCGATCCTCGATTCTCGATCTGAATGGTTTCAGGCCTGCGGTATATCCAAAATAGCTCTTTTTCCAAGAGTTGAATAATTTTTGTAAAATATATTTTTTGGGACTATCTTTTGTGTGACAATTGAAGAGGCAGCTACTGATTGAAGGGAAGGGAAGGCCTACTCTTGGGTCACAGTTTCTCCGGGGTTCCACCTTCTCTGGACTTGTAAAAACACAGCATACTTATTCTCGTATTTATGGGAACCTTCAATTATGGCTATCCCTTAACCCTTGGCTGAAACATTGCAACCAGCACTTACACACATCCTCCCCTGCCCCCACCCTCCTCTCTCTCGAAATTGAAACATTTCTCCACGCCTTGACATGTCTGTCTCTCTCTCTCTCTCTCTATCCACCTGTATGAAAGCAAAGTACCGTACACTGGCTAACAAGCCAACTAGTCCTCAGATGTGTGCACATCTGTGAAAATGTGCTCGTATGTGTGGGCAACGTTCAAATGGGCACAGAATCAGCGAAGGGGGAAGAAGGGGATGGCTGGCACAGCCAGACAGACGACAGCTCTCCTGTTCCGCTGCTCTCTTCAGCTAAGCCGCTCTCTGGCTCGCCCTCTCTCTGTCTGTCACGCTGCCAGTGTATGAGGCCACAACTGTAAATCATCGCAGACACTCGCACACTCATACGCTCACCGAAAACGTTCCCGACCTGGACTCTACCTGTCTCCTTCTCCAGGCAGTGACGTTTCATGTTTATTTATAACAAGAAACGAAGGATTAACAAAGCAGCAACGACCCAGAGATACCCTTTAGCTCCAGTAGATCGATGGCCTGGGGCAGGCCACTCTTTTGAGGCGACTTTAAGTTCTTTGGCCACAAAGTTTAGCAATTTCTAGTGTGGAATCCCCTGCATCCGCCACAAGAAGGCTCCTTGGTCGCACACTTGAGCCGGCTCTCTATCAGAATCATAATACCCTGGCCACTCAAGGCCATAAAAGCGAAGCGACCGCTCAGGCGGGCGGAGGCAAAAGAGAATCGAAAAAAAGTTCAGCAAAGCCCACGTCAGGGCGCCGACGATTGTATGCCCTTCTTGTCATATGAAGGGTAGTAGGCTTAGATACATATAAGCTAGGATATCTTGGCCAAACTAATCGGTGGATGGAGTCCTAAAGAAAAAAGGTAGTACATTCTGTTCAAGGAGGGTTCAAAGATGCTTCCTTCTCTGCGCTGCGCGATGCCTGATCAAATGTCGTAGCATCGACCCAGGTTAGGGTATTGAAAAAAAGAAAACAGTTCGTCGTCGATTGAATGTCTTTTGTATGTGGGTCAGCAATGCAGCAATGGGTGGGGGAGGCAGCGGGAGCGGGAGCGGGAGAGGCTATGACAGAGGAAGATTCTGGGGCAGCAGAGCAGAGGCGAAGCGAGGCGAAGCGAGGCGAGGCGAGGCCGTTCAACGGTTAAGCAAACAAGTGAGCGCGGGACGCAACGCTGGGTGGACAAGTGCCCTGGTCCCGGTTTCGCTCCTCTTCCCCTTTTTGCCGCAGGGAAGGAGAGCGGAGAGAGAGAACTTGTTTTTAATCGTTGTCAATGGCCAAAACGTTAAGTGTCCCGTTCGGTCGCTGGATGCTGTGGACGCTGTCGATGCTGTGGTCAGTGCCATGGCGGATGGGAATGCAGGAGGAGGAAAAGCATTTGCGGACCAATTTTCAGGCTGCATTCGAGACTGGTTTTCCAGTGTGCGTGCCTGTGTGTCGGTGTTTGTGTGTGTGTGTGTGTGTGTGTGTGCCCCTTCCACCGAAACAGGTTGCACTGTTAGTTGCACTGATTCCATTCGCTGATCGCTGTAAATCAAAGAGTGTGTCCCCAGACTCCCCTCGAATCCAATCGAATCGCAGCCCCAACCCCCAACCCCCTTGCCCCCCTACCCCCGGCAGACAGCACTCTCCACATGTCAAATGGAATAATTACACAAGTGGCACAATCTTTTTTGTTGTTTTTTGTTCGGCTTTTTTCGCGAGGCGAGTGAAAGATATCGGATACCGATAAATGTCCGCTTTAATATAGCTGTATTTAGCAACATGAATCACTAACCGAAACCGTTTACGCAGACCTAAATAACATAAACACATAAACACATACATCCACGAGCACTTAATCGTGACTGCGTACACATGTAGCTACACTTTGTTGCCGATACAAGTTTGCCGATGTGTGTGTTGCGATACCCTTATGGTGGTACAGGGTATTACAGGAGAAGCAAGCAAATGGAAATTCGAGCAGAAAACATGGCTGTGATTATCCCTCTATTATATAAATGAGTCGTGCAATATTTGACTCAAATCAGCCCACGAGGAAAGCGAATGTGCATGTGCCTTTCTCCTAGTATGTACATATTATTCTGTCACTTAGTTAAACTTCTACCCAGCTATAGCGATATCTTTTTGAAATGTACTCAGTTCTATTCTTCGGAAATACTACTCGTTGAATTCTTTCGTTTTTCCACTGAACCTACAAAAATCTGATACAAATCGAACTGAATCAATCCAAATTTGATCATAAACATGCCACTGTTTTCACAATAATTACAATAATTTAAACGATCCTAAGCGAAGTGTTAGTAAGCAAAAATCCTTTGGTTTTCTCTAGAATCTAGTTTAAACTCTAGAATTTTTAACATACCATAAAATATAAGGTTAGGTTAAAGTAAATCTTAAACAGTTTGAACAGAATTAAAGATCTATATAGCCTCCAAATCTTCTCCGTCTATACCTTATATAAAAGAGTATTTTCTTCTTCGTACCAAAAAATCTTGACTTTTTTTTCCAACTTTTGTTGTATTTCCAAATGATTGGCTGCAATTTGGTTTCGTGCGCGTTGATTTGAATTTTTTTCTACTGTTCCCCGCGCATTTGATTTTGTTTTTGTTGTTTTTCGTTGGTATTTAATACGCATGACTTCAGCTTGATTTGTTGGTATTTCTTGTTGTTTTCTGCATTGTTATTTATTTATTTACTTGTGTTGTAACTCTTGTCGCATTAGTATTTCGTTTTTTTAAGCCCTTTTTTATACCCTTGTTTTATGGCGTTGTTTTTTCTGTGTTTTAAAATATTTTTGGTGAGAGAACTACGATGATGTAAGAGGCTTTTCTTGCTGGAGTCCATGGATCCATGGATCGCTGACACTAAAGATATTATATGCCTCTTTTCTTGGGAACCTTTAGTGAACGGGAATTCTTTTAAGTTTTACCTAATTCTCGACATATTTCTAGTTCTAAATTTCAATGTTCCAACGATTTATTTAAACATATCCAAACAAATTTTCTTGCCATGAAATGTTTATTTTAGAAACCCAAATATTAATACCCATCCCGAGTCCTGTCCACACAAATCTCCCAGGTTTCTTTCCCCGTGAACTCAAATATCAATTCCACTTAATGACTGCAACATGAATTGCATTCCATTCCCCGAACACACTTCGGGGGCTGTTGGCACCTCCGGGGATCCCATAGATACACTCCATGCAGCTGCAGAATCCTCGAGCCCCAACCCCCAACAGCAGCCGCCATCGACAACAACATGTATCTATGTTTATCTTGGCCCCCCCTTCGCCATGGTGTGTTTCGATGGTGTGCAGCAGGATTTCGGTTCGCATTTCCAAGAGCAAACTGTACAAGTCAATTGAAATTGGAATCGGAATCGCAATCGGAATCGGAGAATGAAGCCAAGTTGAAAAACGGCCTCAAATAGGCATATAAACATCGGCAAATTGCCAGTGGAACGGCAAACGGCAAAAGGCATCGGCAAACGGCATCGGCATCGGCATCTCAGTTACCGCATCATCAAACATCATTATTATGTCTTGGCCTGGCCAAGAAAACAAGTGGGAAACAAAATACCCAAAAAGAAGCACACAAAAAAAAACGAGTCAATCGAGTTAAAGGAAAGGGGGGTGGGGGGGAGGGGGGAATGGGGTATGGGAATACTCGTATGGCTCCCAGCACTGACCGACAAACAGTTGTGTGTGCTTTCGGTATTTTTGGTGTTGGGAAGCGTAACTAAATGCCCCAAAATCAAAAAGCGTGGCAACAACAGCAGTCTGCAGCCTCCAGCCTCCACCACTCGTGGCCATTAACGGTTAATCTGGGCTCTTCACCAATTTACGGGCTGTGCGCCGTGCTCCGTGCTCCGTGCGCCGGAGAGTCCAATCTGCCAGCCAATAGCCAATCTGTGTCACATATTACTTATGTGCCACGCTCTCCCCCGCCCTACACTCGGGGAAAAATGGTTCATGGAAAATCGAAAGCATTTCGAAACGTTTACTTTAAGCCTGTTCAAGCGGATCTAAATGGGGCCTAAAGAGTGTGTAGTGGAGGCCGAAATCGGATCTATAAATGATGTCGTTGGCAGATGGAAATATGTCTATCTAATATCCTATCTAACATTCGCCAAGTGTACGAAAGGATCACCACGGATGAATGACATTTCAACGTTTAACTTTAAGTCTGTTCGAGCCGCTCTAAGTTGGGCCTAAAGACTCTTTTGTGGAGGCCGAAATCGGACCCATAAATGGTGTTGATGTAGCCTATTTGTAGTCCCGAATCCTACCCAACATTCTCCAAGTGTACGAATGGATCCCCACAGACGGATGACACACCATTCCATTCCATTGGCTCCACACATTGACACGACTCGACCTTCTGGCATTCCTCTGGCAATTAGCCGCGTTTATGGCTCTGTTTGGCTGTTGCCTGCCTTTGCCTCTGTGGTGGCTGTTTAGCTGTTGTTCTGCAGTTAAATGTTGCATGCCACATTTGGCACACATGACATGCGACATGTGTTTCTGATATACCAATAGCCAAAGGCCATCCCTCCACCCACCCCCTACCGATGTATCCACCAAAACATTATGGCTAATTAATGAAATTCGCACTGGATTTTCGGCAGGGGGGTGGCTGGGGACGGCCCTCTTAATTGGTTATTTATTTTGTTTTATGAGCAATTCCAGTGTTTCATTTCCATTTCCATTTCCTTTTTCGAATTTTAATTTGGTTTTTTTTTGGCTTCACTTCGTTTATGTCTTTTTCTGTGGCTGTCGACTATTGGGGGGTCATTGGGCTAGAAGTTAATGGGCGCCCGCTTAATGGGTCATTTGAGAGCTGTCCAAAACAGACACAAAGCCGAGACTTGGCCCGGCCATAAAGGTAATTAGCCAAAAATCCAATGCGGCGATCGGCGCAGTGGGTCAATGTTTGGGGTCGACCGCCACTCGGTGGAGTGTGGAGTCTTTTCTGGAGGGTTTACCTGAGTGTGGTTGACATACCTGGAAAGACAGAAATGAAAGATCAAATTAGTTTTGGTTTACCAAAATTCCTTCTGCGGAAATTGCTTAAATGCTCACAAAAGAAACATTTTGCAATGTCCAGGGTTATTCAAGAAATCAAATTGAAAATCCATTTCCACACAAGAACAGGAAATGCCAACAACCAGCCCCAAAATGTGACGTTGCACAACACTTAATGACAGCCAAGGACGAGGCGAAAGGATGGTAAGAAATGCATAAATTTTGCATGCAATATGCATATTAAATTCAATAAATTTTCTCCACTGAAAGCACAACAGAGGAGACCAAGAGGCGGGGGGGGAGGGAGAGATAGATGCAGACAAGCTGCCGACAGTGAGCTATGGCCAAAGGATATGCACAAGGATACCTAGCATCTCAAATTGATAGACATTTTTGGAGAGGCAGAAAGCCCGAAAGGAGAGGCGAGAGCCGAGTGGGTGGGCGATTGGTTGGGCAAAGAGAAATATAAAGGAGAAAGTCAAGGGAAAAAGTGGGTGCCCTGAAAGGGGATTCTCGTACGCGCCCAATTGCCAAACACTTTTGCTCTTTTGCCGGGGCGACAAAGTTTATTTAGCCCTTGACTTGGGGAATTTTTTGCAAATATCTCTGCCTGTGTCCTTGGGGCTAGGATAGTCACTCTAAAAAGGTAAGCAAAAGTCGGAGGGACTCCCGCTGTGTTCTAAAAATACTTGGGAATTGCATGACTTCTGCATGGGCCGCCGCCAGTGGAGTGAACCAATCATTAAGTAAGAAGAATCCTTGATTGGTCTAATAATAGAGCTGCCAGGCCACGGCAATTGGCAATTGGCAATGGACCTCCTGCCACGCCTCCTGCGGCCTCACATATCACGAATTGTCGGTTCGAGTTCTCCCTCTCTACCTCTCTCTCTGTCGCTGTCGCTGTCGCTGTCTCCATCTCGCTCTCAATGCAACGAAAAAGGAATGCGCGCAACATTTAATTAAATAACAGACAGCCTGAAATCCAGAGATGAAATCGAAAGAGTGTCTGGAGAGGAGAGGAGGGAGGAGGAGGATGGGCATAGGCCCAGTGCTGCAAATGTCCATTCAGTGCGTGAAATGTCAGGGTTTTACCAGCACGGATTGCACGATTTTTAATCGATTTTGATCGATTTTTAATCGATTTTAATCTAGATCTAAATGTAATACTAAACACTTGAATCACATGGTATTTCCCATACAATTCACCTACCGCTTCGGGCCCTGGAAAGGGGTGCCTTTGCACGCACATCTCTAATACGAAATCTCAATATTTCAGCAGGCACTGTCCTGTCTCTCATCGGCTCTGCATTCCTCCTCTGCAGCCTCTGCAGCACTCTAGTGCCTGCCACATGCCCCTCTGTGCATTGTTCCGATTGCTTTTTGGTGCACAAAAATAGTTCCAGCTCTAAAATTGCAAAAATTCAAAATAACAAATTGCATCGATGCCAGTGTCCTTCAAGCCACGTATCGCTCTCTCTGTCCCTCTCTGCCGCATGCCTCAATCCTGGTATCCCTCTGTTGCATGCCTCCTGCCTGCCTGCTGTCCCTCGCTGTTGCTTCTATTTCCAGCTATTTTATAAATGTTGTTTTTATTGCTTTTCAATAGCGGCGGCGTAGCGCTGCGGTCGTCAACTTTTGCCGATTGGCAGGCAGCAGGCAGGAGGCAGCCGACAACCGCAATTGCTTCTGTAGAAGCCCTCCCCAGCTCCTCCCCTGCTCCTCCTCTGATACTCTGTTCATTCGATGCTGCTGCTGTTGCTCTTTCTGTCACTGCTACTGTCTCTGCGGGACTGTACCACCGAAAAACAAGCACTCCCCACAGTGTCAGGGGCGTCGTTAGTGTAAATTTATAACTGGCAAGAGCCAAGACTGGATATTACTAGGGTGGACTGTAAGGATTAAAAGAGAGCAGAGGGAGTGGAAGAGAAGGAGCGAACTGATCGAAGCTGGATCGTAAAATCGAATTTATGTCTTGTAATGTATTAGATATTTTCTTATCTGAGACTACAATTTGTTAACAAAATTGTTAATCCATTTTTAGGATTATTATATTTCAATTTATTCAAATATTTTTGACAGATTTAATGGCGTTGCTTATTAGCAAAAAATGAATGGATGGTCGATAAATCTTCCATCAATTCGGGTTTATCCTATCTTGAAGTGTTAATAAATACACCTAATTTATTAGCCATATAATTTATTATTGATATTTATCAATAGCGATATAATTTATGAGTTTAGTCTAAGGAAACCAGGTAATAAACCACAGAATACTCGTCTGCGTACCTCTTGAATAACACAATGGTGTGCCTTCTCTATTGTACAAGTTCTCTGGCATATCTTTGTGATTTTTTTTGGTGCATTCAGGGCTTAACTAACCGTAGAAATATATAGGGATATATGTACATACGTATAGGGCATATAGTACTCGCACCCCACTATTGTGCAATCATAAATCAAAGCTCCCAAGTTCTGCCCACTTTTGATGGTCGTTGTAATCCAGGGCTCAACATTCCACACACACACACACACTCACACGCGAGAGTGTATTCATTCCACTTGGAGTTGCATCCACACACCACTGATCCCCCCCCTCCCCACCGCCTGCTGGCCACGTCACTGGAAGCAGGACAACGGCTTAGTGTCCTTTCTGCTGCCGCCGCTGCTATCCTCTGTTCTATTCTCTGCTCTGTTCTGTTCTGCACGGCTTGGTTGGCACCCGAACCGCGAATGCAATTAAATAGAATATATCGCCAGCTTCCCGACTCAGCTCCAAGGTCGGTCCGGTCCGGTCCGGTCTGGTCCCCCCCTGCGGCTTTGGGCTCCACTTCCCTGCGGACTTGGCCAAAACTCAAACTAAAACTCAGCCAACTGGCAATAACTCAGGCAGTTGCTGGTTTTCTATACCCTTCAGGAAGGGTGTTCCCGCTCTGATTAAAGCTGCACCTTCATTCGATTGGTTTCAGAGCCGAGTGGAACCTAATGGGAACACCTTTCCTCCGTAGTTCTAGGGTATCATTAGCATCGAAAGACCCACCTCTCCTGCTGCTGTGGTCGTCGGCGGCCTAGTCCAAGGGAGAAGTAGGCGGAATTCTCTTCTCTTTCTGTTTTTCGGCCGCTTGTTAAGTAATTTTGTTAATAGCTGCACCAACGGCAGTGGCTTCAATAAATCTTTTTGTGTGGCTGCCACAATTCGCTGCACATTTCATGCTCTCTTTGCCGCTGCCGTAGCCGTTGCCTGCCTCTTGGGCTATAGCTATTAAATGGAAACTAGTTCACTCCACTCTAGAAGGCTCAATCGAGTGCCTGCACCTCCCACAAAATGCACCACAAAATACAGAAAATACACAAGAAAAAAATTGAAATAAAATACAAATAAAATTGTTGCACGCATATGATCGGCCGCAAGAGGGAAAGGAGGAGGAGGGGCAAGTGGAGGGGAGGGGAGTGTACAAATCATTTCGCAGACTTTCACCAGAGCTTCGATTGCCACAAAACAGAAACAGAAATAGCAACAAGACGGCCAAAGATAAACATAATAATAGTACAAATAAACAAATGATTACTTTGTCGAAAGCCCAGAATAAACAGCGAGAGCGAAATGCAAGGCGATGCCTAATGGCGATACTCTATCTTTTGGGGGCAGAGGCTGCTGGCTTTTGTTACGGATTTGGCCACACAAATGATGGGGAAATTGAGGAATATACTTATAAAAGGTCTACGGCACAGTAGCTTTGCTCTTGGGCCAACCCCTGGCTCACACGCCTCTCCCGTTCGGCTCACTTCTTCGCTTCGGTGGCGCCGATTTGAGGTGAATATTGGGACAACGACGTTGAACCAGAACTGTTTTTATATAATAGAGATACAAAGACAATCTTGCAATCTATTGGACTGTATCAGAAGCCATAGGCTGATACACAACCGCTAACCTCAACCTCTAATATAATAATATTAGTAGGGCATTAAGGAGCTTGATTTGAATGCATAGACACGTTAAAAGACTGAAGAACCTCTTGGGGATCGTCTGAGTAAAGGAAAATAAGCAAAGGAACAAGTTCTCCCATAAGCTTAAGGCTTAGGGATTGCCTAATATTGGTGCTTGGTGCTTAAAAAAAATTCGTTGGGATCAGTCTTGCAGGAAATCTCTCTATCTATATAGTATATCTATATCCCTATATAGTCTTCAATATCCATATAGAATGAGTCTTTATCTGGCTGCACGATCACCTATATATCCATCTATGTATCTATGACCACCTCCAGATATCTTTACCACCGCAGTATAGATCTTTCTACCTCAGTCTTACTTTATAGATCGCTCTGTAGCCATCACTCTCTCTTTCTGTATCTCTCTCTTGGTCAGACTTTCTTCATGTTTCTCTGCTTCCATTTCCATTTCTATGCAACACCCATGACCATTCATCTGTCACTGAACTCATATTTTGCCATGGAATCACGATAGTCTTTGACCCCTGAATGGAAACAAGTACGTGGTCTGGTCATCTCGTCTAAACTTAGCTGAACTCACGGAGATCTCTTCACTGGTGAATATCGTAACACTCAGAGTCGTGGCAGAGTCGTTGCACGAATGAGTCTGGACACCAGGCAAAGCATTGAACTCTTTGATGGCTTTCATCTACAGATACTAATGATAGAAATATCTATTCCTATGGATATCTCATGCAATCCTTTAGCATCCCCCAAAGAGTATCTACATTACACTCTTCCTTTCTATCTTTTAATGCCATTTCATTGCTTTTGCCTCTGTTTGTGGCTCATTGTTTATTCTTTTTTGCTTTGGCCCTCGTCAGAGTTGGCCAAAAGCCTTTTTTCCGTTGACCCACTGACGCTGACAAAATTCACTAATTTTCAGTGGCGGAAACGGATTCGTTTGCTGTTGTTTTGAGTTGATTGCAGGCGATTACGGCTGTCACCCCCCACCAGCCCTCCCGATGCGACCCGTCGCGAGGCTTCACCCTTTTTTTATTTCTGTCCGGCTCTGTCGTAATTTGCACCTGTTGCACCTGTGTTGCAAGCCGAAATGCACAAAAGCTTACACAAATTTTTTTGCGTGGCAGCTAAGCAGCCGCTTGTGGCTGCCACATACTCGTACATGGCAGAGTCTTGGCTAAATGGAATTTAATTATACGAAAATAATTACGCGCTCATTTTGTTGGCTTTGTTTTAATTGTTTGACGTTTGCTTAATTTGCCTCATTAGAAACTATTTTTTAGTGCGGAGTTTTGTTTGTGCTTCAGTTTCAGGCAGCAGGTTGCTGCCGCTGCTAGTTGTTCAGCAATTTTCCCATTTGGGTCAGTTACCGACGTCTGTCGATTCGAATTCGCATAATATTTTGCACTGCAACTCAATCTTTTATGGGGTATCACTCACCCTACGAGGGTATTAGTGTTTTGCGAAACCATTAGACCCAGAGGCACACAGGCATTTGTACGAATATTCCTGGGTTTTTTGATACATCTGTGACTTTCAATGGCATTTGAAGCGTTGAATAAAATTATTCAAATATTGGAGAACTTCGGGGGCCGCCTCTCAATCGATAGGGAAACACTGCTTCCGTCACAATGCATCTATCAGCTGATTCCTGTCACAATTCGCAGAAGCTGCGCCATTTTGTTTGTGTTTGACAGCTAGGAGGCTGTCAGATAGACTGACAGATAGCAGGCTTCCTCGTAATTTGAAGAGTACTTGGAAAAAGGTGAATTCCTGTGCTCATTAAGCTTTTTTTTCGGGGAGGAAAACCTCCACTGAAACCAAGGCTAAGCTGGATCAATACTATGGGCACTCTGCTTCATTAATTTCCATGGTAAAATAGGGATTTGCTGGCCTTACAAGATTAAAAGTGCGAAAAATTTTATATAAATATCTGTCATGGGAGACAATCGTTTGAAAACACAGAAGGTCATCCTAAAAATCTTATAAATCATAGAAATATTTTCCAAATTATATCACAATCGAATGATCATATATGTATCTTCCTTACCCCAAAACAAAGGACTCTCACGGGGTATCTAAACCTACGAGCCCCAAAAGCTAAACATATTTTGGTTTGTTTTGTTTCGATTTGTTCTTAATTTGAATTGCAGCAAATCGCAGTTGGAGTTTTTATTTATAAACTTTTTGGTATTTTTACATCATTAAAATGGAATGTTTTTGTGCAGGAAATAAATTAAAAGTTGGCTTTAATTGTTGCTCATACGTAATGTTGCACAATCCAGTGGCCGCTGCACTTGCCTCTGGTCCGGGGTCCGTGGCACGGGGTCCGGGGTACGGGGTCCGAGGTCTGGGGTTCAATTGGAAAAAGCCGCTTAGCCTTTGTTCTGTTTGGTTTTCAGTTCGGTTTGGTTTAGCCGGATTCGGTTTTAGTTTCGATTCAATTTGGGCTCGTATTTGGTTTTGTTGGAGTTACGCATTGTTCCGAGTATGAGCCTCTTGTAGGGGTTTTCGGGTTTTTGGGTTCTGCGCCCCGCTGCAAATCGCTTGAATGTCGTTCAAGCGATTTATGAATAGTGAATGCAGCTTTTGGGGGGTTTAACGGTGCTGTCGGTGTCGGACAAGCCGTGCAATTTGCAATTCGATTTCAAAGCTGTTAACACACACAAGCACACACACACATCATTGCGAATAATTACGTATTTGCTTTTGTTGATTAACTGTGGGAATATTGGCATTACGGTGGGGTGTCTGGGTCTTGGGAGGGGAGTGGCATTATGCCACGAATTTGCAACCCATTCAAGGCAAAGACCATAATTATTGAACTCCAAAGTGGATTAAAACTTAAACTTAGTCATGGAAAAGTCTAAAAGGAAGGGGATTGGAATTTAAGCAAACACTTGTTTCATTTATCAACAAATCTGGCTACATTTTAATGCGGATTATTCGCTTTTCTTTGGTTGAAAATGTAGAATAAAACGTAGAACTTGGACTTTAAGTGGCTAAAAAAATATTATCTCGAAAGTCTATATTCTCGTTCGAATTCTTCGAAAATTCTTTAAAAATGAACAAGGATCTAATCAATTTTCAAGCATGTCTTAAGTCTTAGTTCGTTCCGGCTCCCCCTCTGGGATATTTCAACACATTCTTCAGCATTTTCCCTATTCATCTACCATTTAATTAATCCCCTGATTGGGAATCCAAGTGCAATCGCCACGCCTGTTTATGAACCTTTTTCAATCATTTGCACGGAAATTCCCTCTCGATCATCCGCTTATTTGCAACACCCAGGACTATATGTATGTATCCGCAATATCCCAACCAATCATCATATGATACCTCTCCAGCATTCACTTATCCACTAATTAACTAATTGGCATAGAAAATCCAATTGCAATTCGGCGAATCGCAGAATTTTTCCATGACTCGGGAAGCTAATTGTGGTCCCACTCCGCACACCGGCAAGCGATGGCCCGGTAATGGCCAAGAGTAACGGGAATATGCCCCGATTCAATACGCTGATTGATTGTGAATAAGCAATGGTTCGGTTATGAATTGAGCCTCTGTATCCGCCTCCTTCTACGCCTCTTTTTGCGATGGATAGTGCCAGTGGCTGCATAACTAAATTAGGCAGCCGCGTGAAACGTGAGGGGCATGCCACAGCAGCAGCAGCTCCATTCGGTTCAATCTAATCCAAGTTATGTAATAAAAGATTCACTGAACAGAGTGCGGCCTGGCCTGGCCGGTGACCAAAGTGAAATATTAAGCAGTCAGCAGTCTGGTTCTGCTTCCGGCTTCTGCTGCTGCTGCTGGTTTTGGTTTTGGTTCCAGTTAGAGGATGCATCCGCCCAAAGAAATATCGCGTACAATGAAATGAAATATGGGTGGTGCACTGCAAGAAAAATCTAAAGAGAATTTGGTACTGCAAAAAGGAGGACGTTCTGGTTTTCAGGTGAAAAGCAAGGCAGGAAATGGTATTCCCTATCAAATTTGTTTTTAGTGTATCTTCTATACAGTATGTCCAGAAGGGGTCTCCAATTGTCAGCGAAAAATGCTTTTGGACCCCAGCCCGATGAAATGGTGCGCAAAAGGGAAACCCAAATGGACACAGAGATTCGGAGCCAGAGACACAGCGGAAGGAAGCGGAAATGGCCACCTTAATGATAATATATACATATATATACAGCACAGTGTCAGATGTAAGTTTTCGCACATGTTGCCAGAACAATCGCCAGTCATTGGAGGGAAATGGACAGGGCAGAGGGAGAGGCAGAGAGAGGTAGAAAGACAAAGTGTTTTAGTTACAAATAATAGTGAAAGTATTTGTCTTGACGGGGGGGAAATGTTTTTGTGATTTATAAAGATTTATTTTGAATATATATTCGAATTTTATTGGGATTATATCTCAAGGAATTCATACAACCAAATGATGATTTAATCTATCTTTAAGCTTCTAACGACTCAACTTCCTTTAAAAGTACCTGATGACCCATTAGAAAAAGTTCATAAAACCCACAAGAAAAAGAAGAACTTAAATTTGTGGGAGTCCAAGTCCAAACTGTGTTTTCGCCGAAAGGATTTCTCTAATGCGCCTAATTGAAACTGCAATTAGGCGAAACATTTTGGCACTGCTACTGCTGCTCCTGCTCCTCCTTCCGCCCCTAACTCTCTAATTAACACGCCTTTTAAATTATTAATTGCTGCACTTAATTTATAGGCTATACTCTCCCGCCATACCCTGGAAAACCATTTAACCCTCGTGCTGTAGGCGAAGGGAACAAATTGCAATTTGTTTCAAGTGTTCCGGCGGCGGGCGGGCGGGCGGCAGGACAAAGTTTTCTCCTTGTGTCTTGTGTCGTTTGGTGGGGAAAACCCGTGGATGGGGGGGTGGGAAAACTATCTGCTAACTGTGATTTTTGTGCCTCAAAAAGTTGCAATTTGTCTTTCTACCTTTGCTCTCTCCGGCTATGATTGTTGTTGCTTTTCCTGTTCTACTAGTAGCAGTTTTTTTGTTGAAGTCTAAATTGAATTGCAAGTCGAAAGTTTTGCCATATGCTTCCAGTCGTTCTGTAGTGTTTTCCCCCCACTCCTTTCCATTCCATTTGATTTAAAAATTAATTAGGAATGGGGCCCCAGCATAACGGTTCTGATTCCTGAGAACAACCGTAAGAATTTTGTTTTTTATTGAGATTTATTGAATGAATTTCTGAAATTAAAATAATGCAAATAAGCCACAAAATAAACTGTGTGGAAAACAGCAAAGAGACACAGATAACAAAGCAACAAAGTTTCCTCCTTGTTTCCCTGTTTCTCTTTCGTTCTCTTGTTTCCATCTCTTTTACAACTCCGATGATGGTCAATGGCCAGAAGCAAATGCCATGCCCTGGAGCACAGTGTAAATGAAAGGTTGCTTTAATGGGGGGAAAAGTGGGGGAATGGAATGGATGGCTGGAAAAGTGAAGGAATGGCTGGCTGGCTGATGGCTGATGGCTGCAGCTGCAGTTCTTTTTGGGTGAAGAGCGACTTTCGAGGGCGACAGCATTCTTTTTAATGAGTGGCTGGAAATACCAGGAAAAACCAACACACACACAAAAGAGCACAGCATAGCACCCTATGAATTCCATTAGAAAACTTGTTTTTCCGCCGCAAGGTGTTAATTTAAGCAAAGCTTAACAGACAGTTCCA